ATACTCGCAGTCCAGGTGATTGAAAGAGACGAGGAAGGGTACTGTATACCAGTTCCTAATATTCCTTAGCTAAGATTTGTTGTGACGATACTGTTCAGAGTCATTCTCAATCACCAGGACTGCGAGTATCCCATAGTGCAGTTTTCGTATGTCTGTGAAAAGTTCACGGCACGAACACGGTCGTGACACGGCAAGGGATACGCCAGACCAGTCAAATTGCACGAGAATTTACTCTCCATCCAATCAAATACCCGGAACACGGTATAAACACGGCGCGGACACGGTCACGCCAAGATCACGTCACTTTTAGACCAATCATATTGCGCGTGAAAAAAATCAGAAAATTAAAATTCTAGAAAGTATCACGGTCACGTCACGTCACGCTTACGGCACTCAGCTTTTTACAGTCATACGAAAACTGCTCTATAGCTGCATCCGTTTGTAGCGGCTAGMTGGGTCATACCGCAGTCCAGGTGATTGAAAGAGACGAGGAAGGGTACKGTTACGACCAATATCCGAAGGCTAAACGAGTTCCGAATATTCCACCGCTAAGATTTGGGGAAAATCTACATTTCGCGAGGACGTAAACTACGCTAAAAAATAAACAAATAATTAAAGGAACGACGTCTATCTTATGTCCAGCTTATTTTCTGTTTTGCTGCTTACAAAGTAAACTTATCTATTTTATTACYTTCATTGCGGTAAAAATACTCTATACAAAAACGTAAAACTCTTAATATGCATAACSAAAAGATCGTTAAGTTTTTCTGAAAAAAGGTCCTCTCAAYGGATGTGAAATAGTCGTGGTCTAGTAGAGTTCACATCCAGTGAATGGACCACATCCTGCTGCTTTSTTTTGTTTGTTTGTTTTTGTTTTTACCACTTACTAAATCATTTAGATTTTCGTCTATGGAAARGGGAAAGTTTAAAGCTTTCAAAACTTACTTTCTTCCTAGATGTATATGAAAAGAAGACGAACATAGCAATTGAATAAAAAATTAGGATTTGATATGAGCTTCAAAGTCCCTTTAACTGGTTGAACTTCATGCCAGCGAAAATAAATTTAAGATATGCCTATATTTTATGAAAAGTAAAAATGCCTGGGCACAGCGTCCTGATATGATTTCATAATTTACGATCTGCTTTCTAAGGTGAAACAGAAAAGAAATTGTATAAAAGGGGTTGGGCGCCCTGTGGTATCTGGACGCACCACAGGCAGTCCATGATTAAATTAGTACTCTATAATAAACACCCAAAAAAAATTAAAATTTTTTTCAACACACGAAAAGATTCGTACTCACGCTTTCTGTTTTCACTTGATTAGCATCGATGCTGTGATACCCATTAAGATATCCATCTCTTTAGTGGAAAAAGAGTCAATTGTTAGTTTCACCCTTTGTTGTTGGTCACTTCGATTYATTGGTAAGACTGGTAGCTGTACGAGCATGGCAACAACAAAGGAATTTTAGAACGCAGCCTTTTAGATTCCTAGTAGTGATAATGATAAAAAGAAATGCCACAATAAGTGGAATATATTCACATAATCTCGCTGTGAACCCTCAACCGTTYCCTTCTCATTAGAGCCATGTTTTACTTGAATAACTGCGACAAAACAATTCTTAAAGTAATGCAATATTTTCTATAATGATTTAGAGTTAAAAAACTRAAGTAAAATTTTATTTCGATTCCACACTCCACCTAAAAAAAGTCCAATCCCAGTAGTAAATCCGGATTGGGAATTTCCACAATTTTGGAATTTGACGTTGAAACTACGACATTCTAAAGAGCAAGTAAAATAGGTTTCAACCGTGTCAATTGTTTGGATTTTGGCGAAGAAATGTAAGAGTTTTACGAGCATCACAGTATCAACCCGCTCGTCACTGGTACACCAATACTGACACCTACCTCCCTACCCCGAGGGTTGGACTTTTGGCGGCAAACACCTGGTGCTCACTATACAGATTGGAAAAACATGTATTACGTTTTAATGAACGTGTACGAATAATTATGTATATGAAATGGGTTCCATAAACGTACATGTGAATAAGAATGGTTAAATGAACGTGTGTGTATTTTTAAATAATGCCCAACACATGCAATTTTAACAATATCAATTAATTAGTATATTTCATGCTAAAGTATATTGACACGTGAATAAAGATGATGATGATGATGATGAT